ATATCCCGCCTTCTTCGCGGAGGAACCCAAATCTCGGGACGAGATTCTTTTGAGTGGGGGTGAGTTGTCACACCCTAGCTAGTCATGCATTAGAGTGTTGCATCATGTTTACTCTTTCATCAGAAACTTGAAATGGGGATGACAGAACCCCCAGTCCCCTCTGAAACCAACTAGGGTTACTAAAATAATTTTTCAATGAACCTGAAATGCCCTTCTAAAATGCCCATCATTTTTGCCTTGGTTCAGAACCTCTGCCAAAAGTGGTGCACATTTTTCTAGGCCAATCTAGGGTTTTTGAATTAAATCATAGATATTTGAATTTGGGCATTTAAAATAATATAAAATATTTAAATGCTCAAATATCTCCAAACTAAAATGTTTCATGTTGGAAATAATCCAACTATGGACCAGGAGTAGTTTGGTGATTTTTGGAGTTGCCTAGGTATTTTATTTAATTCAACAAAGTTGCAGATATATTAAATAAAAACAGAAAACAGAAAATTAAATAAAAGGAGTAGACTTACCTGGACCTACCTGCCCAGCCCAGCCGGCCCAGCACTGTGCTGGCCCGTGCCAGCCAGCTGCTTCCCCTTGCCAGAGCAGGCAGGGAGGTGAGCATGGCGCGCCCGAGCTCGCCACGCACCACCCAGCCTCTCTGCATCGCCCGGGTCGCCGTTGCGCCGCGTGGATCGTCTTCTGGTCGTCGCCCCGACCTCGCCGACACCCCATTCACTCTCCCCGGCTCTCCCTCGCTCTCTCTCTCGCTCGGCCGAACACCACCGTCGCCGCCGATCGCCATAGCCACCATCTCCGGCCACCCCTCGCTCCCCCGACCAGCTCAGGAGCTCCGCCTCGACTCCCTCTTCCTCCCCACCGCTCCACGGGTCTCCGGAAGCCCTGCATCGCCGCCACGTCGCCGTTCCCCTCTTCGGACTCCGACCACCGTCGCCGTCAAATTCGTCGTCTCCGGCGCGTCCCCGAGCCCGCTTTGACGCCCACTGCAACCGCGGTGAGCCCCCGGAGCGTTTCCCCCTTCTTCCCTGGTCTCTCCCGACCCCTAGGCCCTAGCTCCACCTCGACCGAGAGCTCCACGCCGCCGGCGATGTCGCCGTCGTGGCCACGGTCGCCGTAGCGCCCAACCGAGCACACCATCGTGCTCCACACATCACCAGGAGCACGTAGAACGCACCAACGCCTCCCCAAACCCCCTGCAACACTGATCCCGACCGCACCCGAACTCCGGCCGCCGCAGCCGAGCTCGCCGCCGTCAACTCCGGCCACCCCGAGCCCAACCACCACCACCAATAGACGCGGCTCAACCTCAGCAACACGTAGGTGCCTTCCGCCGTCCATTTGGTCGCCGGAATGGCAAAAAGCACTCTCGCCGCCGTCTCGGATCTCGCCGGCGTCATGTCGCCGGTGGGGTTTGACTTGACCGACCTGGGGTTTGACCCCCCCAGGGTCACTGACGCGTGGGCCCTGTCGGCCAGATGGTTAGGTTAGTGCTAACTACTGTTAGTCAACCCCCCCTGACACTGACAGTGGGCCCCAGCGCCACTAATTAGTAATTAGAATTAATTTAAATCTGTTTAACCCCCCCTGTCACTGACGTGTGGCCCCCACACGTCAGGTTTGACTTCAGCCAGCCGCAGTTGACCTGCTGACGTCACACTGACGTCAGGCTGACGCAGTAATTGATTTTCTGGATTTAAATTAAATCAGGAAATTCCAGAATATTAATTAAACTTCCAAAATTCATAACTTTTATTCTGTAACTCCAAATTGGACAAATTATATATGAAAAATGATCAGAAAAATCCAATCTATCCATCTGTACTATTTTCATGCATGATCAAACAAGTTAAATTGATGATTCAAGCAGAACAAGGAAAAGCACCTTAAAAGGCCATATTTGAATATGAAATTTGAATCTTTGATTCAAATTTGTTCAAACCCTTCTGGCTTTAGTTGCATTAGCCCAATACACTCATATTGCCATGTTTCATGCATGCATCATATTGTTGCACATTGTTTGGTGATGCTTGTGTATCGATGCCCTTTGCGACAGGTTCTGTCCCCGAGGAGTACCGTGATTACCCTAACGAAGAACCGTATCCGTGCATCGAACCATCAGGCAAGCAACCAACCATTTGATCATATCGATACAATCCCATGTTCTCGCTCCTGCTCTCTTTTACTGCATTAAGACAACGCGATTCAAACTGCTGTGTGCTACGGTAGTTGAACCCATTTCCTCTGCATGACCTGTCATTGCCACAGTAACTAGATGAAACCCACTAGCATGTGTAGGAGTTGATTGAGCCATATGTATGTGTTGTTCCTACCTTGCTATGCCTGCTATGCTTAGAGTTGTGTCAGGTCTGGTTCATCTGGGTGATGGGCTAGAGTGAAATGATTATGCCGGTAATGAGAGTGGTGTGGTGAACACGATTTGGTAAAGGTATCGATGAGAGGCCATGTAGGAGTACATGGTGGGTTGTTTCATTGAAGCCGACAATAAGCACTGAGATCTGTATGTGTGATTTAAGAATCAGCTACTACCATGCATTGGGCCCGAAACCAATGGACCCTCTCGGCTTCTTATTCACCCTAGTTCTCCGTCCAGGAGTTGCAAGTAGTTTCTGGTGTTTGTAGCCTACTGGAGGCCGTGGACAGCGCTGACCGTAGGGGTGGGCTGTGATGCGGTAGGTACGTGGCACGGTGTACCGAATACCCGTTAGGTATCTCGGGAACCCTGTTCACATCGTTCGGGGCCGTATGGGAAACCTCGGCCGGACTCCCTGCGGATGGAACCTGGATAGGCGATAAACCTGGACTGGAGGCTTAGGTGATTAGGTAGGTCGTGGCCGACACCCACGTTGGGCTTCCGCTTGAAGGTTGCCGAGTACATGTCGTGTAAGCGACGGTAAGTGGTGAGAGCGTGTATGAAGAAGTACACCCCTGCAGGGTTAACATGATCTATTCGAATAGCCGCGTCCGCGGTAAAGGACTACTTGGTTGCCTATACAGTTCATAGACAAGTAAATGGAAACTACTAAAAGCCTCAAGATAAGTGTGAGTGCCGAGGATGGCTCTTCCGTAGGAAGACGGAGGTGGATCCCCGGTAGTGTATTGAAGTGGTGAGTAGTGGACTCGTGTGCGCAAAACCATTTCAAGTTGGAGTATCGTAGGATAGTCTAGCCAAGAGTCAAAGTTGGCTTGCTGCAATCACTCCACCAACCCTTCTTGATACTATGCATGTATGTAGGATCTGATGTAAGTCTTGCTGAGTACCTTTGTACTCATGTTGCTATAATCTACATTTTTACAGAAGACGCTGCAACCCCTTCTGATGGGTTCTATGTAGACGTTGACATCAACGAGTAGGCTAAAGACCCAGGTGGTGACCCTGAGCTTGTGAAGGACCACGTAGTATAGCTAGGCTTTCCAAGCCTCTTTTATTTTACTAGTTGTCTGTACTCAGACAAGTTACTTCCGCTGTTGGCTTGTATGACTGTATGACTTGTATGTTGGGTCGTGAGACCCGTACCTTTGTGTATGATATGTATGGCTCCCTGAGCCTTAAATAAAGTACTTGTGTCGTAGAGTCATGTTGTGATGCTTCGTTGTATTTGCACATATCGAGCATATTGTGTGTATGATTGAAATGCTTGGTATGTGTGGGATCTGACTATCTAGTTGTTTATCTTTAGTAGCCTCTCTTACCGGGAAATGTCTCCTAGTGTTACCACTGAGCCATGGTAGCTTGCTACTGCTCTGGAACACTTAGGCTGGCCGGCATGTGTCCTTCTTCGTTCCTGTGTCTGTCCCTTCGGGGAAATGTCACGCTTTGAGTACCGGAGTCCTGTTAGCCCGCTACAGCCCGGTTTACCGGAGTCCTGCTAGCCCAGTGCTACAGCCCGGGCCCACTTGCTGATGACCGACACGTTCGAAGCTGGGTCATGGATGCCTGTCCCTGTAAGTCTGTGCCACTTTGGGTTTACGACTAGTCATGTCAGCCCGGGCTCCCTATCATATGGATGCTAGCGACATTATCATATACGTGAGCCAAAAGGCGCAAACGGTCCCGGGAAAAGGTAAGACGACACCCGTGGGGATACCGTGCGTGAGGCCGCAAAGTGATATGAGGTGTTACCAGCTAGATCGATGTGACATCGAGTCGGGGTCCTGACAAAACCCCTGTGCATCACCTGTCAATTCTAGGAATTGAACTCCGGTCGCTAGGCTGCACAACCGCATGCTCAACCACTCAGCCAAGACTCTCTTTGCTTAAAATTTGGGGAGAATTTCACTTCCCCAGCCTCTGCACCAACTAAGGATGCATACGGCCTTTTAAATATGACTACTAGGATTTTTTTTAATCCCAGTTATGCACTGAGCCTAGTCCTCGATGATAAATGCATGAGTTCCAGAAAAGCCTTATCGTTAAGAATAAATAGAAACCTAAATTCGCCTCTGTAAAGATTTAAACCCAGGTGTTGGGTTTGTACATCCATTCCCCCAACCAGTTGAACGGTTATAGAAAGTTTACAGGGCGGCCTCTAAAATGCCCTGACCATCCGGCGTTGGTGAAAACAAGGTGCCACACCCCCGAGAGCAGTTGGTGAAAGTTTACATAACGTTTTTCAGCACGCGTTCTTTTTTTTTGCGTGCGCACTGTTTTACAGTTTCTGTTAGAGCTGTCTGGCGCCCAAAAAATTCAGATTTTAACGCGCGGCCTAGTTTTTGGGCGTCTGTTGGAGATGCTCTAATCGAGAGCAGTAAAAAAAGATACTGAAAAAGATAACATAATCCCTCCGGTTCATATTACTTGCAGCTGCTTTAGTACAAATTGGAGGGAGTAATGCATTTGCATGCGGCGAGGAGATCAGATTCACTGCAATCTCATCGTACATAAAGATTCATGATACTTCCACGAAAACTAGAGCCAGTTGAACCGGCAGCACGTAAGTATTGCCACAAATATCCTCGTGAAGCCGTCACATGATCGCGCACGCGTTGACATCATCATCGTTGAACATGTTGCTGACGGCGTCGCTGCCACGAGCAGGCCTGCGGGCGCGGCCGTGACGATCACCACCATCACCGTAGCCGCGTCGGTGGTAGCTGTAGGTGTCGCGGTACGGCTCGCTGCCGCCGAAGCAGCCCCCGGGAGACGCGAAGCGCAGCGGCGTGCCGCCGCTCGGCCAGAAGTCCGCCTTCTTCCCGCTCCGGCGGCGTACCTCCCGCAGCACCTTTCCCCGCTCCACGTACCCCGTCACCCTCACCTTCCCCGTCCCGGCGTCCACCTCCACGCTGTCCACTCCTCGGAGGTTCACGAGAGACTGCATCACGGCTCGCTCACAGCCGTCGCAGCACATCCGGACCTTGAGCTCCACCGTCTGGATACATGCAATGCAAGTGTTGTGCCGGTCAGGTAGCTTGCGCCATCGATCGGTTTCCACCGGGATGGAAATGCAAAGAAACGAATGGGTAGTATATATAAACAGGACAACAAGCACGCGGGTGAACCTGGAGAGACAGGGCCGGTCTGCTCCGACTGGCCACCGTACGACCCGCGGCGCCGTGGTGGTGACGATGCGCGGAGCTTCTGCCCGCCGGGTGGCCGCGGTAGTGTCGCGTGTCGTGGTGCCCCCCGGGAGGGTAGAAGCAGCAGCAGAAGAAGGACAGGAGCACGTCGGAGACCAGGTCCGCCATGAGTGCACGCGTGTGTCGTGCGAGATCCAATCCAAGTGATGAACCAACAACCGATCAAGAAGCTCTTGCAGCTCGATCGAGTAGCTAGCTAGCTATGCGTGGCACTGGGGCTCCGCAAGCAGTCCGCACTGGGATCTACTTAACTGAAGAGTGTCGGCTCGGACGGACAGCCAAAAGCCAATTCCTTTCTGATCTCATCGAGCAATGGGTGCTTCAGTTGTTGGTGTCACATGCAACAATATGGAGGGATTTCTTAAGAAAATGCGGGTAGGTTTCATCTGCAGTGTAATGTAAAACCGAGGAGGGAGGTCTGCATGTGTGAGGCAGCAGAAAGACGACAATGCCTTTGGCGAAATAATAAATAAAACAAATAATACGAGTACGCATGCATGCAGCTGTCCTTTTTCTCTTCAGAAAGAAGAAAGACTAGTCGATCCAGAAGAAGCAATGATCCTTATTTAAAAATAACTCGAGATTAGCCGAAATTAAAACACATACATATACTTACCGACGAAGGAATTGCCTCATGCAGGATTTCCTTAGGACATATGCAACGCCGATCCGTAAATTTTCTTCCACGCCAATCCGCGAACAAGGGATCAGTTCGGAGACACAGATGTGGAAGGTGGTCATCCAATGCTATTCCGTATACGTCCATTAATAAAGGATATATTTAAATTCAAATAAAGTCTGGTCCATGGTGCGTCGATCATATACCCGATCACAATCAAAAAGAGGCAAGTATGCTCAAGCTTTTACATGCCCGATCACAAAAGAATATAAGCCCGGCAGTTCATGCAAAATAATTCCGATCCTCCACGCTCAAGGTGCGGTCGCTGCCGCGTATGCAACCTTCTTCTCCGCCGCCTACTCATCCTTCTTGCCCGCCGCCTCCAACTCATTTTTCTACTGCTGCAACATCTTATAGCGGACGGCTTCCACGATCATCCTTGTGTCCGCATCGACTGCTATCTTCACCTTCTTTTCTTCTAGCATTGCCTTCTTCTCCTCGACCATGACCTTCTTCTCTTCGATCATGGCTCTTGTCTATTCGAGCGCTAGCTTCTTCCCGGCCGCCTTCATTAATAGTTTGAACCTCTCCACCTTTTTTGTCCTCCTTGATGTCCGAGCGCTTGACGTATGCCTCCTCCTTTTTGGACAAGATGTCCTCGAACCTCTCTATCATCTTCACCACCGCACCTTTCTCGCTTTGCCTTCTCCTTATCCCACTTCTTTTCCCAACACCCTCTTCTAATCTTCTTGAGCGGTTCTTTTGTTGGGTCGGTTGGGCCACCGATTTCTTCCTTGGTGTCCTGTGCGGCGTTCTTGGCTATGAATAGGTTCCACTTCGATTGCCCATTCAACTTCAACTAGCAATGCATGACAGTGAAGTTTTCTGATCCAACTTCTTGAACACTTTACACGCATGAGAAGGCCAAAAAATAAATATTGTCAACAAAACTATGCATATCCGACCAATGATAAAAATACTATGCATATCCGGCTAGTGATCAACATAACTATGCATATCCAGCTAGTGATCAACACAACTATGCATATCCAGCCGGTGATCAACAAAACTATGCATACCCTAATAGTAATCAACAAAAATATGCATATTCGGCTAGTAATAAAAAAACTATGCATATTCGGCTACAAAACTATGCATATCTGACCAAATCAACTTACTTGCTCGGTGGTTTGGGCACCACTAGGGCACCGTGTGATGAGATGCGCCAAGTGGCTGCAATACTCCGACACAGCCTCTTGGATGGTGTCCCATCGATGGTTGAAGGACTTTGGTTCAGGGTTGCGGATGAACGCGTCGGAGTGGGGCGCGAAATGCTTGTGTGAATGTTGGCCCGAAAATTTGAGCCCTTTTGCTTCGTGCCATGGATCTGATCGAGGCTAGTGGCAAACCATGCATCGCACAACAACTCGTCCTCCAGCATGTTAAAACTTTCTCCTCTATGCTTCTTCTTCAGATCGCTTGCAAAATCATCCGGATTATCGTCTTCATTGTCCTCCTCCCCCTCCTCTAGTGTACCCATGCCGGTCTGGATGTAGATCTACTGCGTGCTAGTCTGGGCGTAGCCCTGTTGCGTGTGGGTATAGTTGCTGGCTGATACATCCATTTTGCATTATGCTTTTATATCGATATTTATCGCATTATGTGCTGTTATTACACATTATATCACAATACTTATGTCTACTCTCTCTTATTTTACAAGGTTTACATGAAGAGGGAGAATGCCGCAGCTGGAATTCTGGGCTGGAAAAGGAGCAAATATTAGAGACCTATTCTGCATAACTCCAAAAGTCCTGAAACTTCACGGGAGCAAGTTTCAGAATATATAAAAAATATTGGGCGAAAGAAGTACCAGAGGGGAGCCACCCACCATCCACGAGGGTGGGGGCGCGCCCTACCCCCTGGGCGCGCCCCCTACCTCGTGGGCCCCCTGGCAGCCCTCTGATGCCCATCTTCTGCTATATGAGGTCTTTTGTCGAGGAAAAAAAATCATAAGCTAGCTCACGGGACGAAACTCCGCCACCACGAGGCGGATCCTTGGCGGAACCAATCTAGGGCTCCGGCGGAGCTGTTCTGCCAGGGAAACTTCCCTCCAGGAGGGGGAAATCATCACCATCGTCATCACCAACGATCCTCTCATCGGGAGGGGGTCAATCTCCATCAACATCTTCACCAACACCATCTCATCTCAAACTCTAGTTCATCTCTTGTATCCAATCTTTGTCCCAAAGCTTCAGATTGGTACCTGTGGGTTGCTAGTAGTGTTGATTACTCTTTGTAGTTGATGCTAGTTGGTTTATTCGGTGGAAGATCATATGTTCAGATCCTTTATGCATATTATGCCCCTCTGATTATGAACATGAATATGATTTGTGAGTAGTTACGTCTGTTCCTGAGGACATGGGAGAAGTCTTGCTATAAGTAGTCATGTGAATTTGGTATTCGTTCGATATTTTGATGAGATGTATGTTGTCTTTTTTCTAGTGGTGTCTTGTGAACATCGACTACATGACACTTCACCATTGTTTGGGCCTAGAGGAGGGCATTGGGAAGTAATAAGTAGATGATGGGTTGCTAGAGTGACAGAAGCTTAAACCCTAGTTTATGCGTTGCTTCGTAAGGGGCTGATTTGGATCCATATGTTTCATGCTATGGTTAGGTTTACCTTAATACTTCTGTTATAGTTGCGGATGCTTGTAATAGGGGTTAATCATAAGTGGGATGCTTGTTCAAGGAAGTATAGTACCCAAGCACCGGTCCACCCACATATCAAATTATCAAAGTACCGAACGCGAATCATATGAACGTGATGAAAACTAGCTTGACGATAATTCCCATGTGTCCTCGGGAGCGCTTTACTTTATATAAGAGTTTGTCCAGGCTTGTCCTTTGCTAAAAAAAGGATTGGGCCATCTTGCTATACCTTATTTACTTTTATTACTTGTTACCTGTTACAAATTATCTTATCACAAAACTATCTGTTACCGATAATTTCAGTGCTTGTAGAGAATACCTTACTGAAAACTGCTTATAATTTCCTTCTACTCCTCGTTGGGTTCGACACTCTTACTTATTGAAAGGACTATGATAGATCCCCTACTTTGAAATTCCTTCGGGTATGATAGAGAAACTGCTAGCTAATCCTTTCACAGGAGATGGAAATTACATCCCGATTTGCACCTAATCTATGTGGATGAAGTTTGTGAATTATTTAAGCTTGCAGGTATGCCCGAGGATGTTACCAAGAAGAAGGTCTTCCCTTTATCTTTGAAGGGAAAGGCATTGACATGGTTTAGGCTATGTGATGATATGGGATCATGGAACTACAACCGATTGAAATTGGAATTTCATCAGAAGTCTTATCCTATGCATCTTGTTCATCGTGATCGTAATTATATATATAATTTTTGGCCTCGCGAAGGAAAAAGCATCGCTCAAGCTTGGGGGAAGCTTAAGTCAATGTTATATTCATGCCCCAATCATGAGCTCTCAAGAGAAATTATTATTCAAAAAATTTATGCTCGGCTTTCTCTAGATAATCGCTCCATGTTCGATACTTCTTGTACTGGCTCTTTTATTATGAAGACTATTGAATTCAAATGGGATTTATTGGAAAGAGTTAAACGCAACTCTGAAGATTGGGATGTCGACGAAGGTAAGGAGTCAGGTATAACACCTAAGTTTGATTGTGTTAAATCTTTTATGGATACCAATGCTTTCCGTGAATTTAGCACTAAATATGGACTTGACTTTGAGATAGTAGCTTCTTTCTGTGAATCATTTTCTACTCATGTTGATCTCCGTAAGGAGAAGTGGTTTAAATATAATCCTCCCATTGAAGTAAAAGTATTTGCACCTACTAAAGTTGAAGAAAATACTATCACTTATAATGATTATGTTGTTCCTACTACTTATATTGAGAAACCACCCTTCCCTATAAGAATAAAGGATCATGCTAAAGCTTCAACTGTAGTTTGTAAGATTAATACTAGAACACCTACACCCTCTGAGCAAATTAAAGTTGAACCTAGTGTTGCTATGGTTAAATATCTCTTGGCCAATAATATTGATGGGCATGTTATTTACTTCTGTGATGAAGCTGCTAGAATTGCTAGACCTGATACTAAAAATAAACATAGACCTTTTGTAGGCATGCCTGTTATTTCTGTTAAAATAGGAGATCATTGCTATCATGGCTTATGTGATATGGGTGCTAGTGCAAGTGCAATACCTCATTCCCTATATAAAGAAATTATGCATGATATTGCACCTGCTGAGATAGAGGAAATTGATGTTACTATTAAACTTGCCAATAGAGACACTATTTCACCAGTTGGGATTGTTAGAGATGTTGAAGTCTTGTGTGGGAAAGTTAAATATCCTGCTGATTTTCTTGTTCTTGGTTCCCCACAAGATGACTTTTGTCCCATTATATTTGGTAGACCCTTCCTGAATACTGTTAATGCTAAGA